CTTCCAGAAAGTAATTTTGTCTTATAAGATCATTTGATACTGGGTGGCATGTCCTCACGAATCCTTTAAGTTAGTTCATTTGAGATGTTACCGGGGACGCAAATCCTGGTTGAAATCAATTTTAATTAAAGATCAAAAGAGAGTAAATTTGATATAAAAGTTGTACTTTACCAAGAGCATTAAAAATGAATTTTGAACATCTTCGATGTTATCAAGGTAATATTCCAACTGAAAATACCTACAATACCATTCAAAAGTTTTTTGTTTTTTTTAAATAGTACTTTTAATCAGCAAGGATGCATTTAATTGATTAATCATGATAATGACTCCTATTGAAATAAACTAGCATTTACTGTGTGTGTGTGTGTGTGTGTGTCAGCGTCTGACAGCAGCAAACGCTGTGACTCGCACTCCGCCGCCAGGCTGTCCGGAGGCTGTCTGTGTGAACGGCTAAAGCCCAATAAAACAGTTCACAAACTCGCTACTCTTCAGATCAACAAAACCTAGTCTGTTTCCCTCGCCGTGTATTTTTACATGTTCTATTTTCAAACCTCATGTTTCTCCTCTCGCTCGCCCTCTCTTTCTCAATGAACCATGGAGGCTTGTTTGCCATATACTTGGAAGAAGTGGCATGGAAAGTTTACTGTGATAAAACTTGAAAGGAGGCTAAATTACATTTTATTAGCCTAACCGGATTTTTAAACTGAACAGGATGAAAAAAAAGACCAAAGACGACTTCCCAATGGAGCATGGCCATTAATTTAGGATGGAATATTTTATAACCTTTTTACTCAGTATAGGAGTATGTCTGCAATAAGCCTGAGATGATAGATAGATGGACAGACAACCTGAACAAAATTATGAACCTGTAAATACGCATAATAGGGCACTTTAAAAACACTAGTAATTTAATAATACTTAACTGTGCTCTTTAGCAAATCTCAAAATGAATATATTTTTCATACTGTAAATTATAACACATCTAAATTCACTTTTAAATGATTTTAAATGATTGATTTTAGTTTTTGGTACTTTATTTTTAAGTGAAATAGACAAAATATTTTAGAATATTTATTTCAGACATGTATAATACAAAACAATAATTAATTATGTGTAATTATAAATAATTATTATAAATAATACATATTATTGAGAGAGAGATATATATATATATATATATACAATTGGTATTGGACAAATTTTTACTATCAGTGGTGCATCCCTACTGAAAACATCCAATTGCCAAAACCAGCTATCTTCTTCATAACCCTTAATTATTCAGCTGGTGTCAACTAACATCCTACAATTTGTTTCTATTCTTATACTTATATTGTATTTCTATTCTATCACACCCAGCCTAAACAAAACTGTTCATTGCTAATCAACATTTTAAAGTCATAAAGTATACCACATCAGTGAAATCAAACTTGACCAATGGATCCAAACTCAAGAGTAGAGAGATATGAAACTGCAATCAGTTTTGCGCTGATTGAGGTCAGTGTGTCAGTGGAGTGTCATTGCAACACTTTATGAGACAGAGACACACGGGACAATGCAATGATGGAGTCCAAGAGTGAGAGCTTACCCCCCACATAACTCTCTCTCTATAGGGCCAGTGCTGCTGGTCTCTGCAGGGTGCTGAGAAACAGACCCCCCTGAAATTCAAAGTGGCCTGGATGTGGGACTGGCCACTTCGGTCAATGGCCTTGAATTGCATCCTAACTCCTTTTGAATGTAAATGTGAGTTTAAACCAAAGAATGGCCCACCTTCATTATGCCACTATGCAGCCCCCACACAATCACAATTAGGCATTTGATGACACTAAAGCTGCAAAAACATTACAAATACATCCACCTACAAGCACAAGATGTTTTAAAACTATGGAAAGACATGAAAATTGACAGCAGGAATAACATGTTATCACACAATTACTGCCATCCTGACATAAAAGAATGTATGTGTGTAAATACAGACAAAACCATACACAAATATGCTCATGCAAAAGCCACACAACACACAATTCATTTTTGGAGTCTACCTTAAACATATTCAGGCGACATTCCTTCCAAAAACAACAACTCTCTAAGACTAAATTGTATTCCAAAATGTAAATCCAACTGTAATCAAATAAGTATTTGTGATATCCACAGGTTACGAACAATTACAGTTTTGTTTGTAGTTTAAAAATACAGATATTATCAGGTAATCAAACAATCTTGCCAAACCAAACCCCGTGGGCTGGGTATTTCATTTACACATAAATAATTTAGTCCAAATTGAGCTGATAAGGCAAACGATGGGGATTTATTTCGTTTTCAGGTTTGCCATCTTGACTGTAAGGTTTTCTATCGGATCATCTCTTACCGTGTGCTGCGAACGTGACAGAGGCTCAATTCAGTTCGAATACTCTGACACTGCAGTCTCTCAGCCAACGAAACATTCGCTCATTTTGAAAAAGACAGATCGATCGTGAAGTAGGAAATTGACTTACTTTTTATGCCATTCTCTAATGTTTATAACATTTAAGTAGTGCTATTCTGTGGAACACAAAAGGAGATGTTAGTGGCATCTTTTTCATGCACTGAAAGTAAATAGTGACTGGGACTGTAAGTCTGCTTTACATCTACCTTTTTTGTGATCCACGGAAGACGGAAAGCCATTGAGAGTCAGTAAATTATGACAGAATGACCATTTTTGGGTGAACTGTCCCTTTAAGCCTTATCAATTCTCTAGCATAATCCCAAACACAAAATCTACTTTGAGGTAAGAAAGTAAAAATTTCTGGTTTAGAATTTAATTTTAGAATTTACAAGTTAATGGACACTTAATTACAAATCTGGTATCATCTGAATCAGCAAGTTCTCTCGTTTAATTCGATATCAAATATTCACATCTACATGTTTTTTAAAAAAAGCTAAAACATATCAAGTCTGACCAGATGTTTCCAATGTACTTCCACTCGTCTTAGTAAATAGCACATACGCTATATTTACCACTGTATGCCTCAATTATGTTTTTACAAATGTTAGACTAAGTTTAGGTATTTCTTCCAATTTAATTGGATTTTTTTATCCAATTAAATATTCATTTTAAATATTTCTTATCTGTCTTCCATTTCAAATTTGAAACTGACAAAGTTCTGGGGGTGGCAAATTAATTATTTTTGAACAAATACATTTTACTACCAAACAAATCCACGCAGGAAAATAAAAATGTTCATGATTTTATAAGCAGGTCTCTTGAAACTTAACATTAATTTCCACAGTTCAGATTATAACTATAGTTTACTATAACTAATTTATAATAAACAAATATGAATACGTGAATATTATAATCAAACTTCATACACAAACATAGAATTACAGACAATAAAGCAAAATGGGTTACAAAACTCCCCTATATGACCCTCCTGAGGACAAGCACATGGTCAATGCAGCCTATACTGTACAGTCACTGCGTGATGCTCGACTGAGACTCACTGAATTCAGCCAATCTTATTATGACCGAGTAACGTTTAACCTTCCTGCCTGTGTGGACTAAATATTACCTAAAATATACATATTATAGAGGCAAATGCTTTATATAAGGCAATTCTCAGGTAGCTTCTAAATACCAACGTGATCCAGCTTATGAATAATTCATAAAGCACACTAGACTCACAACACATCCGATGTCACGACAATTAACTGATGGGCCTAGAGACATCAGAACGAAAAAATTCTCAAGTTTATTGTTAGTCTGAGGGAAATTGTCACATTTAATTTAAGTAGTAGGTCATAATTCACTAATAAACTGGGTCGTGTGTTACTAGGCCCTTTTGAATATCTATACCTGAACATCTAAAGCAGCGTATGCAGGTAACTTAAACTCATGCTTGACATTTGTCCATAAACACCGCGACTGAAACAAGGTTTCGATCAAACAAGACGACACCGATATAAGGAGTAATTTTCCCATTCGAATAATAAAACACAATCCTGGTTTACCTTCTCCATGCGCAGACCACAGGCAGATGGTGGAGAGAAACAGCAGAGGACCCCAAAATAAGGTCCAAACATCCCTCGCTGTTCCAGATCTCATTCCTAAAAATCAGTCTTCCAAAAAAATACAAAGCTGAAACCGCAGCAAAACGCGACGCTGCTTCTTGTAAGCAAGCAAAAAGTCCAGAAGAATCCGCTTTGGATGAGCAGATAGTTCCTTTTCGTTACCCGTAAAGATAACGGGAGGCGAGGGGGTCGTAGAAAGAAGATATCTGGTAATAATTGTATAATTTGCCTTTACAGGGAACATTAAGATCAATTAAAACACTGTGTTATTCTTGCCAGCTATTAAATGATGCAATCGTGTGGGAGCCACGAATTTCACTCGACCGATAATCTGCATCTTCAGCCTCCATTTCTTGAAAACCTGAGAGGGACGAAACGAGCGCTTTCTCCTCCAACAAAAACACCTCATGCGAATGTGCGCGTGCCAGTGTGATGAACGACGCTATACTGATGATGTACGGAGGACTTTTGAGGTCACGTTGAAAGAGCTCGACTCGGATAGCGTATTCACGTATGAATGAAAGCCTCCAGACAGCGCTCGGTCCAAAATATCCGCCAGGACAAAAATGGTTTCACCAACTGCTCACCCTCGCCTACCGTCTTCACGCGCTCTCACGGTCGGGCTGTTTTGCGGTAGGAAAAAAAAAAACCATTTAGCCGAGATGCAGGAGTGAGCAGCTCCCGAGCGTGGGATTTTGGTTTTCCGCACCGTAAAAAATCACGAACTGTTTGATATAAATAGCTTGTGAGCCTAGTGTTTGATTCTCAAGTGTCCACGGCGGCGCTCGGACTCCTCCGCGACTCTTCTGACGGTCTCCGCTCGGTAGAATCACCGCTGTAAACAAGACTCGGCTTCTCTCACAGAGAAACACGCCAGGCATGAGAGAATGCCAAAACATGGACTGGAGCACTGGACCAACCGTGTTGACGCCAGCACACCATTTGATCTCAAAAGTCAAGGTGACAGGAATTTGTTTGGTTTTTGTTGTTGTTGTTGTTTTAACGAACGTATATTCGTAACAATAATGATTCCAGCCATGAACTTGTTTACATGAATATACGCTTATACCAGGTCTGTCATAATGTTTATTTGAAGAATAAATGCAATTTCATTTTTAGTTCATTTGAATTTATAAATAGTCATAATTGACATAAATAGAATATCTAGTGGAATCGTCTTCATTTGAATTTAGAAGATTTCTAACAATCAATCTCCTGTCTTGCAAAAACTATGCTAACTAAAGAAAGTTTGAGATGATAGATAGATAGATAGATAGATAGATAGATAGATAGATAGATCACACACTTTGCTGTGATTGTGCAAAGAGCTCGACTCGGATAGCGTATTCACGTATGAATGAAAGCCTCCAGACAGCGCTCGGTCCAAAATATCCGCCAGGACAAAAATGGTTTCACCAACTGCTCACCCTCGCCTACCGTCTTCACGCGCTCTCACGGTCGGGCTGTTTTGCGGTAGGAAAAAAAAAAACCATTTAGCCGAGATGCAGGAGTGAGCAGCTCCCGAGCGTGGGATTTTGGTTTTCCGCACCGTAAAAAATCACGAACTGTTTGATATAAATAGCTTGTGAGCCTAGTGTTTGATTCTCAAGTGTCCACGGCGGCGCTCGGACTCCTCCGCGACTCTTCTGACGGTCTCCGCTCGGTAGAATCTCCGCTGTAAACAAGACTCGGCTTCTCTCACAGAGAAACACGCCAGGCATGAGAGAATGCCAAAACATGGACTGGAGCACTGGACCAACCGTGTTGACGCCAGCACACCATTTGATCTCAAAAGTCAAGGTGACAGGAATTTGTTTTGTTTTTGTTGTTGTTGTTGTTTTAACGAACGTATATTCGTAACAATAATGATTCCAGCCATGAACTTGTTTACATGAATATACGCTTATACCAGGTCTGTCATAATGTTTATTTGAAGAATAAATGCAATTTCATTTTTAGTTCATTTGAATTTATAAATAGTCATAATTGACATAAATAGAATATCTAGTGGAATCGTCATCCTTTGAATTTAGAAGATTTCTAACAATCAATCTCCTGTCTTGCAAAAACTATGCTAACTAAAGAAAGTTTGAGATGATTTGTTGTTTTAACGAACGTATATTCGTAACAATAATGATTCCAGCCATGAACTTGTTTACATGAATATACGCTTATACCAGGTCTGTCATAATGTTTATTTGAAGAATAAATGCAATTTCATTTTTAGTTCATTTGAATTTATAAATAGTCATAATTGACATAAATAGAATATCTAGTGGAATCGTCTTCATTTGAATTTAGAAGATTTCTAACAATCAATCTCCTGTCTTGCAAAAACTATGCTAACTAAAGAAAGTTTGAGATGATAGATAGATAGATAGATAGATAGATAGATAGATAGATAGATCACACACTTTGCTGTGATTGTGCTATCAATCACAGCATTGTAGCCTACATCAAGGAGTTTATATGCATTTCTTATAGTTACATTTAAAATGATTCCATTTTATTAGGCTATATTTTTATGAAAATAATTATAAGTTTTAATCAGAAAATCGTAAATAACACTATTTTCTTCTCATTTGTTTCAAAATTGTTTTAAAATTTTACAGCTGCTTTGAAACAATCTATATTGTATGAAATGCTATATAAATATGTGACTTGAATTGACTTTTATTTATATTTATATCATCTTTTTTTCATATGTTGTATTAAAGCTATTCTCTCTGCTATGCTGTTTCTTCATAAAATGGCATACTAAAGAGACAAAATATCTGACTGTATGCATAACAAAAAAAAATGTAATGAAATGAAATGTGTTATGTATTGTGAAATTAAAATGCATGCAAGTTTGGGAAACTAAAATGATTCAGATAGACGCCACAAAAAGAAACTAAACATGAAATAAGAAAAGGGTACATAATATTGGGTTAGCTCAGGACGTGTTGATCGTACCATGTTAATAATTTCCTAGAAATCGGATTGAATATTTTTTTAATCCAAGTGCACTGGCCCTTTAAGATGCGATCCGGGTTTCATAAACGCCAGATTTGACAGTGTGAGTAAAGGGAATTTAATGTGTATGTTCAGATAAGATAACTATAGTGATTTTTAGTACGCTACTCACTCATATTCCAGTTGAACTAAAGCTGGAATTCATCATCTCTGGCACATGGAGCTCTTAAATGGAATGAACGGATGGAGCTATTAAAACTAATTTAAACATATAAACAATAAACATATTTATCCTATTTTTATCCACAACGATAACAATTTGTAATCAATTCTCTATGTTCAAAATATTACCCAGCTCCACATTTTAGAAGTGCACATATTTTGCCAATGACATAGTCTAGTCAGCTAAAAGTAAAATCCGATGTAGAATTTCATTCATTGAGACGGAACGGCTTTACAATTACAATCAATTCATTCGTTCGTGATGATGCAGAGTCATCACTGTTCAACATTGTTGCCTGAGAATAGCACTTTTTTCAAATTAAAATTGACCTACGGCTCCTAAGTCTATAATGCTGAAATATATTGTTAAATTCAGGTGTCTAAACACACTTAAAAATATTTCAGTCTGTTTTTAGATTTAGGCATTTAAATTGTTCGGCAAATTTCCATTTCGCTGACATGAGTCAACTTAAAATGGCCTGCAAATTGTGAATTCAGTACCCTATAAATGTCTACAACCTAGGCCTATATTAATTTAAATCTATTTTTGAGTGGAATTTGATCAATTGTTTGCGTCAAATTGCATTACTATTTTATTTGATATTATATGAAATGTGGATCCAAAAATATAGTTTCTTACTCAAACAGCATTCAGAATTCTCTAAACTGCAGCTCAGTTCTTTCTAGCCTTGGAAATCGCCTTGACCTTGTATCTTCTAATCTGCAACTTTGTGTTTGGCGCCTCCGTATGTCAAAATGCAGCATTTATCATGTCTCATGTCTCATTAGGCAATGAACAGATCCTTAGTATGTTCACAGATGGTTTCAATTCCTGATCATTTGTACAACAAATCTTCAGCACTATAGAGAAAATGATCTGTTCTCACTGCAAATTCAATGTTAAGATATACAATTATTGTTGAAAGATCCACTAATTAAAGAGCATAGACTTGTTTAAACATGTTAAATTACTCATTTTGATAACAGAGCAACAAGATATTTCCCACATTCATGTCTCTTATAATCATACATCTTTTTTTGAAAAAACAAAACAAAATACATTTTATGCTCACAACAAAGCTTAAACACATGGATTGTGCCCCAGATTACCTCTGTCCTGGCTAAACAAAAAAAGTTAAGCCCCTGTAAAGCTACAGTCAGAAAAAGCAGAGCAGTCACCAAAAGCAAAACTCCCTTGATACTGTGTTTCTGTCTATATGAGTTTGTCCTCATGCAGTTCCACCCAGACTACCTTTCCTTTAGTTTCATTTCAGCCTGGCAGTCAAGTGGAAATAAGCATGTTTACCACTGACAATAGTGATGACACACTGTTTGTTTCTCATTTTATCTAAGCCCAGACAGGAAGAGGAATTTGGAGGAGAGGGTGACAATTATGTTCGGTCGAACAGCTACAGTCAGAAAAAGAAAAGATTCCTGAAAAACAAGCTGAAAATGATATAGTGCAGGAGGGGTGCAACAAATTAGTTTTATCGCATAGCAGCTTGGTTTGATCACAATTATGATTGTTATCACCCCCAAAACCAGGAGCCAAAAACTTTATTGCAGATGAGCACTGACCATCAAGTATTCACTTCCTCCTCTTTTGTAAATAATAGTTGAGACATTCCTTATGTCCGGGCTGTTTGGGTAAACATTTTAAGGGGGAAAAACATCCCAGATAATGTGCTTGCTGCAATATTCCCATAAAATGGAAAACAAATCTCTCTCTCTCTTTTTTGTACAATACATAAGTATGACCCTATAAACAGTATTTCTGCAAGAAAAAGATAAAGCTGAGTCATTTGGAAAGAGTTCATTTTAAGTGCAGCAGTCAGTCAACATGCAGTTCAGCTCTTCTTTTGGATGGCATGAACCTTGATTCATTAATTGGATTGTTGTGTTGCCACTAAAAAGCTTAGCTGGAATTATCTATTAGCAGTTCCTCCTGAGCTTCAGATTACCAACCACGTATTTACTATAGTACATATCCACCATCTAGTGACTGAGTTTTTTCCTGAAATATTTTCTTTAAAAGCAACTGTTTCTTTTACATTATAGTTTAATTGCTTGGATTACATGTGTTTTACATACACAAAGTTATAAATAAATTAAATTAAATTAAATAAAAATGAATTAATTTAATTAAAACCCCCTAAACTTATTTATTTACTAGTGCTGTCAAATGATTAATCGCGATTAATCGCATCCAAAGTAAAAGTTTTTGTTTGCATAATATATGTATGTGTACCGTTTATTTATTATGTACTGTATAAATAAATAAACACACAGTATATATTTTGAAAATATTTACATGTATATACATTCATATGTTTATATTCTTATATTTTATATTATATATATATAAATATATTTAATATATAAATATAACATATTTTTCTTACATATACTATACATGCATGTGCGTGTATTTATATATACAAAATGAATATACACAGTACACATACATTTATTATGTAACAAATACTTTTATTTTGGTTGTGATTAATCGCGATTAATCGTTTGACAGCACTATTATTTACATTTATAAAGATTTTAAAAGCTTTTTTTTTTTTTACTTTATTATTTTATAAATGCAAAGCTTATGGTACAAATACATCAAAACATTTTGAGTGGCCATTAGTTGACCATACATGATAGTTTAGTCTAGATGAGTGAGAATGACATTATTTTTGTCAGTGTCATCTTTCATGGGTTACATATTAGGTCAGGGTTCGATATAGCCAAGGCCAATGTCATAATCCTCTTGTAAAATCTGATCATGTGACACGGATTGAAGACACCCAAGGAATCCCGCATGGGTTACACAAACAGGCTGATGACAAGGCAAAGGAAGGAAAACAAGTATGAAACTCACTGATATGCAAAGCTAGATCCTGTTTTACATTTTAAAGAGAAACCACAAAGGTGTTTTGCATTTAAAGTCTTTTGGCCAATTTACTTTGCTGCAATATTTGCTCTGATGCCAAATATCCTTGGCGGTTCAACAGCCGAGTGACAGTCAATCCCTTTTGAGGATAAACTCTCAGCTTTACAAAAGCATATTTAACAATCCAAGCTAGCCTTTCCTTGTGAAAGGAATTTCAGAAATGTCTGCAATTTCTCAGTGGGAAGTCGGTGGTTTATGGGTAATGGAGATGAAGGGAGATGGGAATAAAACGGATGCAGAACGCATTTTCTATAGCAGGAGAGATTCAGAGTGTACTATATTACTGCAGTCGTAAGTAGTAAATCAAGGTCAGAAAGGAACTCAGTGCAAAGAATAGTGCATTTGTGTCACATGAAACCTTAAGGCTCTCATCAAAGAATGAAAAAATATATATGATATATGGTGTCATATCTGTTGATAATATGGTCATGCAGTTCTGTCTGGTATTGTTTTATTGTGATTTCCGGCTGTTGTAGAACAAGGAAGGTTATATTATAAGATTATTAAACCTTGGAACAACATTTTTGGTACAATTTTGAAGAATGTATGTAAAAACAATAAAATCAATACTACAGGAGAATGACCATGAATTTAATTATTTTGCAAATTTTTGCTCTCAGACTTAAATTTTTTGTCCTATTTGTTGTTAAACATGTTTTTGCAGGAAAAGAATGTGGCTCAAAACATGTTTGTTCAAAAAAGCCTTCAATGTGTTTTGGTTTCCCCCCATGTGTCTCACATTTGTATGATGTTGTTGCCATCTTGTGGACAGTGTAAATACTGGACAGTCACTGTTTGGAAATGGTCTTGGCTGGCATTTAACTTACTGAATGTGGTTGGTTTTTAACCTTAAATGCTTCATTTACTTGCAGAGAGACAGAGGTGACAGAGAAAGGGTACAGTTTTTATTATTAATAACCATCCCAGAGGAGACCTTTAAAGATTAATTCAAAAATATTTTAATATATTTAATATACAATGAATTAGGGCTGGACGATATGGCCAAAATTTATATCACGATATATTTCTTAATTTCGATACGATATAATTCCGATATCGATATGAACACTATTAAAAAAGCCTCATAAAAACGGCCAAGAACGGCCACAACAGATGTCTGTACCTACAAACTTAAGAAAAATTAATTTGCCAACTCTATGAAACCTACTCCTATAAAACTATAATGTGTTTAAAAATCATATCACCGTTATTGAAAAAAATTATATCGCGATACATATTGATATTGAATTATTGTCCAGCCCTACAATGAATACAGTTTTGACTAACATGACACTGTATGAGTCTGACTGTGTAATGGGTTTGCAATGTAACCATCATAACAAAATACGTTTAAAAAAAATGGCAATGTAATGCCAGTATAAACTTGACAAGGAAACAAGAATGCGTAGTTTACTTTTTACAAATTATTTGTAAATGTGATACTTGAAACAATTATTTTAAAGCAATTTTTGTGTGTGTGTTTTATAGGCAGCCTGTGTGACAGCTGCACTGGCCAGAGTTATCAGCTCCCTGTGCTGGACACAGTGTTTGTTCGCTCTCACTGGAGAAGGACTGGGCTCGCTTTACAGATGCTGGAGGATTTCTGCTCCTCTCAACCCTCTGAGGCGTTTCTGGGAATTAGCTTTCCTATGTCACCTGGCATGCTTGGAGGTATGTATACACTAACATCCAAAGGTTTTGGGTTGGTAAGCATAGCATAATCATATTAAAACAATAAAATAACTGTTATGGTTGGTTGGTTGATTGATTATTTGTTGATCATGGTTGATAATTTTTTAATTACTTTTCACTTTTACGTTTTTTTAGCTGTGATATTCACATGTAAAGGATAAAAAGATAAAATGCTCAAATTTTAATTGATACTACTGTTAAAAAGTTTGGGTTGGTAAGATTTTTGAAAGAAGTCTCTTATAGCTACTCACCAAAGCTGCATTTATTTGATAAAAAATACAGCAAAAACATTAATATTGCAATGTATTATTACAATTCAAAATAAATGTTTTCAATTGTAATATATTTAAAAAATAATAATTTATTCCTGTGATGGTAAAGCTGAATTTTCAGCAGCCATTACTCCAGTCTTCAGTGTCACATGTTCCTTCAGAAACCATTCTAATGTGCTGATTTAGTTCTCAAGAAACATTTTTTATTATCAGTGTTGAAAACAGTTGTGCTTCTAAATATTTTGTGGAAAGCGTGATACATTTTTCAGGATGCTTTGATGAATAGAAATTTCAAAAGAACAGTAGTTATTTGAAATAGAAATCTATTGTAACATTATAGATGTCTTTAATGTTACTTTTGATCAATGAATTGCATCCTCGCATTAATTTCTTAAAAAAAAAAAAAAAACCTTCTGACCCCAAACTTTTAAATGGTAGTGTTTCTCAGGGACGTGCAGAAAGTTACTCAGGGGCAGGGGCTCAAATGTAAAATAGGGGCAATGTAAAAAAAATTTAAGAAAAAGAAAAGAAAATGATCTAGGTCAAAAGTTTGTTACTATTACATACTATTTTATATTTTTGTAAGAAGTCACTTATAGTCATCAAGCCTGCATTTATTTGATCAAAATTTTAATATACTTTAAAATATATTGTGCTATACAGTTGTGCTGCTTAATATTGTTATAACCTGCGATACTTTGTTTCAGGATTCTTTGATGAATAAAAAGTAAAAAAAGAACAGCATTTATTTAATATATAACTTATTTAATTATATACACAACCGTTCAAAAGCTTGACGTCAGTATTTATTTTTAAATACATTTTTTTGTAAAGAAATTCGTTTTTATTCAGCAAGGATTTGTTAAATTGATTAAAAAAGGTGATAGTAAAGATTTATATAGTTGGAAACCATCTCTATTTTGAATAAATGCTGTTCTTTTTACCTTTTATTTATCGTTGAACTCCAAAAAGTATCACAGGTTCCAAAATAAATAAATAAATAAAGCAGCACAACTATTTCCAACATTGATAATAAATCAGCATATTAGAATGATTTCTGAAGGATCATGTGACACTGAAGACTGGAGTAATGATGCTAAAAATTCAGCTTTGCATCACAAAAATAAATGATATTTTAAAGTATTTTAAAATAGAAAAATATTCTTTAAAATGTTAATAATATTTCATAATATTATTTTTTTTTCTGTATTTTTGATCAAATGAATGCAGGCTTGATGAGCATAAGACACTTTTATAATGCTGCATAAATATCAAAAATGGGAATATAATAAAGTCCTTTCACGTCACCATTTCGCCAGCCTACACCTCACATAATAGGCCTCTAGGTGGCACTTGTGCTTCATTAACTATGATAGTTTCATGAAATAGTAAAGGTATATCAATACACATAAATACAAGTGAATTGAATACTGCTTTCCATTATTGTGACTTTTGGCGCTAGGCCTAGGTTTATGAACAGACTGTGGAATATTAGTCAGTCGCACGCAACCCATAGCAACGCCTCAGATTGACAGATATAACAATAAACAGGAATTTTCCGACTTTTGAGCGATTAGTTACTGTTTTGTACACATAGTCGTGTTAATTATAATTCAAATGCATTTTGTTTTATTGACCACAATATCATTGCTATTTGTCTGAGAGGGGCACTTTTGAATAATTTAGAATTTTGAAAAGGGGCAGGGCAGGGGCAGGGTAGTCCTATGGCTTTAGATTGTGTGCAGAATACACAAATCGCTCAACATTGAACTGATAAGAGTGGTTACACTGGCTCTTATCTGTGATTATTTATGTAATAGAAACCTGACACCCAAAGCTTACACAACTTGTTGAAATAATTGTTTACAGTTTGTAAAAAGTATCTTGAGATCCACGAAGACGAAAGAGAGCGTCTCTATGAAGTGGAAGCTCCGGGTGGATGGGCTCAGAGACGCAATGTGTGGTTAAATATCCAGCTGCGGGACTTTCCAAAACACTGTAAGAAACTGTTGACGTAAAACAGCAGATATGACATTGGTTGGGTAATAAAGTGAGACACTTGACTCATTACATATGAGAAAGAGCTTTGCTTCTAAACATTTATTGGGTTTGTGTTTTATTGGTGCTATATCGAGACTTCGTGGCTGTTACTCAGGACAGTTTATCTCTGAGGTGGTGCTTTTTACAGGTGGAAACTCAGAGCAGAGTCCACAATGCTCATATAGTCACGAAAGATGTGAAGTTGATTTGGAGGAAGAGGTATGATGTTATCTTGCATTTATTTAAGCTTATCTAGAGACAGTTTACTGGCTGTTACCGTAAGAGTGTCTCAGCTGTCCTTGGTGGATATAATACTTAAAATATAATGATAAAATGTATTCTTACTCATTTCTACAGGGGATCCTGCGACAATGTAAATCATCAGTTAGTCTCAAAGACACATCGAGCTCGGGAAAGGACCAGCGAATCAGACTGACACAAGGGATTAACTTTAAAAAAGCCAGGACTAATCATTAAGTTATTTAATGGTCAAGAAATAACTCAGACAGACATTGTACTTTCAAGCCATAACAGAGAGCCTAAATAATTCAATATGGAATTCTTTATAGTCATGTGTTAAAGTATGTAGATGTTGGTAATCTGAGATTTGCCTTCTGGGAAACAGTCTCAGGTATTGTTATCCTATAAAGCTTACCATAACATTTATTGCTGGGTTGCCAAATGGTAATCAAACTGTCATACCAGCTGTATCTGGATAACAGAAATGAAGAGTTTTATTGCCTTGTTATAGCCATATAGCGGCCAGTATTCTGTGAATTTGGCCATGTTTAATTGATTATATAAAGAATATGCAGCTATCAAATCTCTCTCAAAAAATAAATATATGATATGCTTTATGCCTTAACTTAAACATTTTGTGATTTATTATAATGCGCGGTTGTGTATATTTTATTGTGTAATGTTTTAAATGTCAAAAAATCTTATTCTGGTGTTTTCCAAATAGATATTAATTAGACTCATGACATAAAAACAGTAAGTTAATTAATTACCCTCCCCTTCAAATCAACAAAAACGGATACAAGTTTTCACCAGTATCATAAAACTGTGATAACAAATAAGTTTTTTTTTTATATTAGCCATCACTCATATTTGCGCAAATAAAGAGAATGGTCGGTGTTCTTGGAACACGAAGATACACGTCTGGATGAAAGATGTCGGGGGAAAAAATATTTTAAAATCTTATTTTACACATGGATTGAGATTTCATGATGACGTAACCAGGAAGTAGCAGCAGCTTAGTTTCGACGAAATCCAAATCATCGGCCGAAGATGAGTCGCATTTATGACAACACTGCGCTATTAAACAAACCTGTCCATAATGAGAAATTCTCCTCCACATGGGATCCATTAGTTCACCAGAGGTAATACTTTAAAGTGTATGCATGGTTTTTTTGCACACGTCGACATCGATGCACAGCACAGCCTGGTTTACTTCTCCATAGTTTCCCTTTCAAATATTCCAAATGCCATAGTTAGTCAAGTTATAGCTAATACTGCAAAGACACAATACATTAAGTAAATTAATATGTGATCTGTTTCACATCGTCAGCCGTTCAGAATATTCCGTCAATGTTCTGAATGTGACAACAGCGGTGTTTAATAACAACGTTACCATAGATTTATAATAGCAGCAGAGACTGTAAATGTCGTCCTGTCGGAAATGATACAATTTTCTTCTTGGCTCTCGCATTGTATTTTATTTATAATTTTCACTTTCCAGTGGTCATGGTGTCATTTTAGAGGGAGCGGTCGTGGAAATGTCACGCCATGTCATAACAGATGTGAACAACAGAAAGGTTAGAGAACTTAAAACTCTTCCTCAATTAAGAAACTCAAGTTGTTTTCTGGAATCATGACCCTTCACTAATTTACACTACTGTTCCAAAGTATGGGGTCCGTAAAATTACATAACACGATTTTAAATAGTTCTTTTGAACTTTCTACTTTGAATACTGAAAAAATGCACCACCGTTTCTACTTTCTACAAACATATTAAGCACTGCAGCACAACGGGTTTCAACATTAATAATAATAATAATAATAGTAATAAATGTTTCTTGTGCAGCAAATCTGCATATAGAATAGAAACTGTGGACTGGAGTAATTGCTGCTGAGAATTCAGCTTTGCCATCACAGGAATAAATGACTTTTTAAAATGTATTACAATAGAAAACAGTTTTTTTATTAATGTTTTTAATACATTTTATTAATGTTAAATATTAACGTTTTACTGTATTTTGATCAGCATAAGAGACAAACATTGTACCAACCCCAAACTTTTGAAAGGTTGAGTATATTACTTTATTTTCATAAAAAGGCAAATATCTTCATTAGTAATGTTTCCCATGACACTTAGTGATTCAACAATTGCTTTTGTGTTCATTTCAGGAGCGCTACAATGTTTTGTATGTCAAACCAAGCAAAATCCATCGCAGAAAATATGATTCAAAAGGAAATGAGATTGAACCTAACTTCAGTGATACAAGAAAGGTCAACACAGGATATCTGATGTCATCCTTCAGTGAGTAACCTTTAAGTGCTTAAAAAAAAAAAATCTAAATCCAGCTGGTTTAGATATGGCAAGTTTTTTACTGTGCATTTTAATGGCAACCTGTTCTAACAGCATTCAGTTATACCATGCAATAATACAAACTTGATTAAACTCTTGTAAGTACATGTATGATTTGGTAAATGCTGATTTATCAAAAATATCTTGATGTATTGAAGCAGACTATTACATGCATGTTGTTTTGGTTTGTGTGTATCAACCTTGCAGAAGTGGAGGCTAAGGGTGAAACAGATTGTCTAAATGAGCGCCATCTGTGTGACATTGTGAATAAGGATCAGCTGGTTAAAGTAACAGCAAAACATTGTCCTAGTCAGGCCTTTGCATTCTGGATCTCAGAAGCAGAGATGGACAGAACAGAGCTCGAGTCAGGCCAAGAAATCCGTCTTAAAACGAAAGGAGACGGGCCCTTTATTTGTAAGTACAATGCTGAAAATAGTATATACTGTACATACTGTGTAAATCAAGGTGGCTACATGTGCTGTTCTGTCTGGTATTGTCTGTCTAGTTTCCTTCGCCAAGCTGGACAGTGGTACAGTGACGAAATGCAACTTTGCAGGAGATGAAAATGCTGGAGCATCGTGGACAGAGAAAATAATGGCTAACAAAGCAGATCAGGAAAATGCAGGGAAGAGTGGCGGTCAGGGCGAGGGAGCAGACGATGAAGAATGGGTACGATTCTCTGCTCAATTGATGAAGTTTTGTGTTTGCTCTGAACACATAAAGAATTGGCTTAGGAAATGGGTTTATCATGAACAGATGTGTAGATCTTTTTTTACCATTTTCTATTAGGTTTAAGACGAAGTGAAACTAATGCAATGATCCAGTACAGGATTTGTTGGGAGTTTCATTGTGCAAACCTGTAACATCTGTTTTATGTGGTGTTTGGGGTTTTTGTTTTCAGGATGACTGAATGACACCACTGAGCTTCAAGGATTGCATCACAGTGCCTTATCTGTCCTCCAAATGTATATTTACGGCTACACCACAAAACAAGACCTAACTGTCAGTATTCATATATTATCACATGAAAGTATCATAAATGAACAGCAAAAGTACCATTGTAAAATTAAGACTTTTATATATTATAACGTACTTAAGTATTGTATGTGTGTATTAAAGATATATCCTTAAGATCATTAAGCACTGTAAATTGAAAACAGTTGTACTATATCATATTTAGAGATGCAGCAATATTACAATTATGCCTGATAGCCAATTCATGTCATTATTTTAAAACAATAAAAACTACTCAAATGAATTGTATTAAATGCTACAATTGAATTTAGGCATCACAACGTTATGTACAGTATAAAAGTGTATATTTCTTTTGAGATTTCCTAAAGATTACATAAATGACCGTTTAAACGGCAGCAAAGGATATCTAAATGTAAAACATGTACAATTGAATATCTAATATAGACAATAAATATCCAATATATCTGATATATCGTGCATCTCTTATCGTAACATCAAAGATCTATTGGAGTATGAATACAAAAAAAATTAAAGAGAAGAAACTGTTGTGTAAAAAGATTGCACTTTATTTAAAGATTTACATGTTTGACTCTTAATACAAATATTAAGTCTCATAAAAACACACATCATAACCTTTGTCATTCGGTTTTCAGTCAGTCATTCACAGAGATCAAAATAATGGCTGTGGTTCTATAAAATGTAATATTTCAAAATACTAGCTTTTATATTTTTTCATATGTATTTTAATTAAATTAAACTATACAAATAAAACGAATGGCATACTGTGCTTTTTTTAATGTGCTTAGATGTGATTTCATCATTGTAAACAATACTTAGTCAGTAATATCAACTCAATTATAGTAAAGGCAATAAATTAAGCAGTCCAAAACATTCATTCTTGGCCTTTTCTCTAATACACACAATAGATTTGGCATTAACTACTCAACATAGCATAGGGAATGTGTTATGTAGCCATTTTAAAATGGCACATTCTTTGTTCTTCCCTTCTAAAGCTTGAATAATTCTCCAGTGAAAGTGGTCTTTTGTTCAAAACCATCTCAGAACCACAGGAGGGGGTTGCTTTCATTGTGAAACGCCTTTACATCTGTTTTTGATTGTATTGGCTCCACTAAGTATACTCTGATTGTGCAGGCCTACAAAAACTAAAAGATCCTACAGCTCTCCAGTGAACCAGTCCTTAACAATCTGCTTATTTTCTTTCACCCACTTAATATTGGCCTCTGTCCTTTCAATGACCTGCTCCAAAGCTCGAGCTGCAAGGCCCTGATTTTTCTCTTCCTGCTCCCTCTGAAGCTGCTTCAGCTGTGTAGAGACAATTTGGGTTTGTGTAAGATCAATGGTGGAAACACAATTACAGATTAAGACATTGTCAACTATTACACTTTTACAATAACTAGATGAATGAAAGAGCACCTCTTCACGTTCGACTTCCGTGGAGAACCTTTTTGTCACAGCATCTAACAGACTGCCTAAAGACACGACTCCCGCTCCATACCTGCCCAAAGGAGATGATTGTTAGTCATATGTCCATATATTTATGGTTTCCAAGCAACTGTGATAAAACCTTTAAGACAATTAGGACTATCATTCATTTATAGCTGAAGGCAGCCTTTGGACCCTGAATTGCTCCTGATCTTTGATTCTTTTATGTTACTTTGGTGTTACAACTTCCTGATTGCTGTAGTTATTCCCGCCAGAGTTTACGAGATTTACATTTTATAATTCATCATTGGCTTTTTTTAACTGAACATCCTCATGTTTGCAGAATGAGTCATTTGCACAAGAACTTAATGGTGATTTAATTTGCCTCTCTAGTTTCCATTCATTGAATATAAAGTCGGCATGAAACGGAAGTTGCGATTGTCTTTTCTTCTCTGCTGTGACGTATATCCGAGTGAAACGGCATCTGAAATGAGAGGGTGGGACTTGATTTCGTCCTTCGGGAATTGATTGGATCGTTGGAAGTTGGGGCGTTGCAAACAAAATAGAGAATTCCAATTTTCCAAACGTCACTGATGTCACTGCAGCTGCTGGCAGTTCCAGATAGCTCCGCCCTTGCGCCATAGCTCGTGACCGGAAGAGTAGAGGAGTCGTTTTGAGGGGGAGGGGAGGTTAACGTTTTTGATTAAAGATTACGAGGGCACATGAATAAAAAAATAATAATGAAGTGCAGGGATAAATTATTTGTAATAAACACTACAGTATTCCATTAAAAAAAATAAGAATTTTCCATTTTGATTTCATTGGTGACTTTAAATAAAT